CCCCCGCCACTGGCTTTACGTCTGGCTGCTTACTGCCCCCCTGCCCCCAGCTTCATGTCCAGCTGCGCGCCACTGGCTTCTTCAGCTGCTCGCCGCCCTCCCCTGCGGCTGGCTGCTTTGTGGCCAGGGGGCCCCCAAAAATTGTTGGTCGGCCCTGTCCATGGTGGTCCAAGCATGGCTGTGGACTTGTAGAGCACTTTGCTCCCCTCTTTTGTTGGTTCTCTCTCTTGCTCTCTCTCTCGGTCCTAGAATGGCTGGTGGGGCATGACAAAAAAGACTGGGCTGCAGGGGAGGTGGATCTGGACAGAGAAGGAAATGCTCCAGATTTCGCGGAGGTGTGGAGTCATGTGTTTAGGAGATGACCGCCCCCCCAAACAAGCCATGCTTTACAAGAAGGCTGGTCAGGTTCAGGCATCTGTCCCGGAAAGCATTGTTTCCGGCAACAGCTGGGGAGGTTGCAGAGAATAATCAGCTGAGCAGGCGCTCCAAGCAAGGTGCTGCAGTTAAGAGGTGACATAGACTTGCTCTGGTATTTTTCTGCAGTCCAAAAAAAAAAAATGGAGAAAGAAAACCAAGAGCTGGCAGTTTCTAAGGGAGCTTCCAGTCTAAGGAGCGGGGCCTCCACAGGGGCCTTCTAAAACGGTTGAGAACCACTGTGCTATGCTGGCAGGCCCTCTCTTTCCTACTTTTTCTGTTTCCCATGCATGAATTTAGAGGCTGGGATCAAGTTGTTCTTCAAGCTTTTTTTTTAATTTTTTTTTTTTTAATTAAGATATGCAGCCAAGCTTTTTTTTTTTCCTCTTGTTAGGAAACCTCTATTCCATTCATCTCATTATTCATATGGAGGGTTTGTAAGTTTTCTCCCATTTTGAACCTTTCTCCTTAAATTAAGGACACCAAAACCAGTCGTGGTATTCCAGTGGCAGAGAGGTGGTGTAATTGCACTACAGCTGCTTCGTGTCATCTCTCTATAATAAATCCAAGAATCCTGTAGCATCTCGCAGCATCTCATTCTGAGTTTGTGTTCAACTAATTATTTCCCTGTTGTTCTTGGAATCATTGCTTTCCAGGGTGGAGGCCTGAGCCTTTCTTATAAAGGTGGCTTTTTGCTCCTAATTCATTACTTTAGACCTGGGTGAAATCCAGAACTTTTCATTCTCAATCCAGATCTGTGTCACCTGCAGCCAAATCTTTTTTTTTTATGCTAGACAGGTGATTCTTGGAGTTGGTAAAAGAGTACTGTTAAAATAATTTTGGTATCAAAGATAATGAATTCGAGAGGTAAGTAAAGATGTTCCTCCTCTGCAAGCCCTTGAGGAAAGTGCAGCTATTTTGGGGGTAACACTACATCAAACTTTAGATTCAATCCAGAAATGGAAACAGTAGGTCTAAGATGACAGTTATTGGCCTTAGCATCTGTCCTGGCATTGTTTGTTATTGTTGGAATTGGTATGTTTGCTGATGGAGATGGGATAAAAATATTCCAACAAAAATCACCAGGGCATTATGTCTGTGTGCTCATCATATCTACTTCTTAATATGATGTGTGCGTAGGCCCGTGGTTCTTTCAGCCTTCACTCTTAAGCCAAAGGCTTTCTCATTGTCTTTGTGCTTTCCATCTTTGAACTTCTATTTTAGTGTCAAGGCTGAGTGAATACATTGTATTGATACTTGTTTCCATAGTTTTAGGGGAGGGGTAGGCAACCCCCAGCATGGTTGCCAGAGCATGGCACACGTGCTTCAGGTTGGACAACAGGGAAGGGGTTGCCACAACAAGGATCAGGCCCCTAGCAGCTCCCCCACTGCGCACTCCAGCATGCCAACATCTTACAAGTCAAGGTTGCGATGTTTTTGGCACTCTGCTCATAAATGTTGCTGACCCCTGTTTTAGGGTATCATAATAAAACTATTAAGATGTGGAGTTTCGTCCACTTCTTTTCTGCTTCCCTGTTCCCTTTCCCTTTAAAACTTTTCTTCTGTTTTAAAAAGGATGCCATCAACTGAAGGTCTGTTAACTTAAATCTGTTTTTCCCTGCCAGTTGTTGTGCAGTGTTGTCTGCAATTAAGTTTTGCCAGTGTAACTGGATTGGTGAGGAGTGAGTATGTGCATGTGGGAAGGACTTATACACCAGAAAGACAGTGGTGCTGCTGAAAAATACCATAGTGTTAAAACCTTCAGAGTAAGGCAAGTATAGAGCGCCTCAAAACCTTATCCCTCACTGCCTTGTGGCCCTGATAAAAACATGTCCTTAGCGAGGCATTAGGCAGTCAGCAGCAGTTCTTATCTGTTGCTCGGTGGCAGAAGCTACAACCATCAAGGGACTGAACGTCTGGACTAGGTGGCCTTTGGATTTTGTCTCAATGGTCTAAAGGCAGGGTGGTGGGTCTTGGGCAGCCTCCACTCCTCCATACTCCTGGCCAGGTGTATGCATCAAAGGTCTTGATGTGATGGTTGCAGAACTCTGCACAAACAGATTCATCTGACACCTTATTAGACCTCTTACATGTACACCATGATCCAGAGGATCAACGGTTTCCTGTTACTCCTACCACCAGTCTAGCTGTACTGGTAAGCCCTTTAAATGGAGAAAAGCCCTGT